TGCTATGTAAATGAAATGTCCAAAAATTTTGAAAAAAAAGTGTTTTTTTTAATAAAATTTTGCAAATAAATATTTCATCATTTCGGAATTTATTCCATTATCTTTTTAGTAAAAAAAAAAAATCCAAATTAGTTTATAAGCAAAAATTATAATTTTTAAACATTTTTTTTTACATTTTTATTTTAATTTTTTTTTATTTTAATTTTTTACATACTGTCACCCTAGCAGTACAGTGTCACCATGGTGGCACTGTACTACTTGTGGGGGGTGATGAAGATTTTTTTTTTTTTTTTTTTTTTTACACTGATTGCTTTTACACCCATATAGGATGTAAAAGCAATCATTTCTCTTTCTCTCTGTGTGCATTCCTGCACTCATTGAGTAGTACTGAGTGAGCTGTGATTGGTCACAGCTTGTCACATGGTACAAGGCTTTTGTGAATAGCCTTGTACCATGTGACCTCTGTGATCATTCACAGATTTCACACGTAGTAAGCAATGATGTCACAAGTGACATCTTGCTTACTACTTTGCATGTGATCACGGATTGGCCAATCAGTGATCACATGATCGGGACCTCGTACAGAGGTCCCGTCCGATCGGTGTTTCACTGTGTCCGGAGGACACAGCGGGCACCTGATTGCGGTGCTGCGCGCTCCCAGGGAGCGCGCACAAGCAGGGTGCGGGGAGGCCATTTATAGACGGCCACCCGACCCTGCAGTGCCACCGTCTGGCCGTTTATATACAACAGCCGGACAGGAGGTGGTTAATAAAAAAAAAAAACAAAAGTCATACTTGCCTTGTGCAATGGTTTTGCAAACAGTCTTGATTCTCCTCTTCTGGGGTCCCCACGGCACTCCTAGCTCTGCCTCCTTTGGCAAGCCCCCCCGTAAGTATAAGGGGGCCTCGGAGAATCCTGCAGTAAAGAAGATTTTTATCTTCATGCATAGAATGCATGGGAATAATCACTTATGACAAGTACCTTTATTTGCTAGATAAGATGGCAGTCCATGGTAGCCCATAGCTTTTAAAGCAAATATTTTTTTTTCTGAGCTACTACCTTGTAAATCTAAAACTACACTCAGTTTGAAGGTTGTTTTAAGTGCTACACATTACATGTGTATTCTTTTTAAGTAGATTTACAGCTCATTTGCTTGGGGAAAGGTTTGAACCTTGGGGAGGATTATACTGCTTTCTGTTGAACAGATTTTACCTTGCTTTCTTTCCCAGTGACCACTTTTAATGCAGGAAGTGATGTGTGAGCTCCTCTTACTCCTGGAGTAGTGTAAGCTCAGCTTGTGTGATGACTGCAGGCTGGGCTCACAGGAACTGGGCAGAATGTCATGACTGATGGCCTGCCCTGAAGAGGACCTCCAGTGCTGGACTGAAAATGTCTGGGACAGCTCTGGAGCCAGGGAGAAAATGAAGCTTTACGCAATTTATTTATTTTTAATGCGAGGAGGTGAGAGAGTTAAACTTTAACCTTTGCATATGGGTGTCCTAAGAAGTTTTGGCTTAAGTTCCATTTTCTTTTTATGTTCTGCCACTTCATTTTTATTATAGTTCAATTATTGTGTTTTTAATGATTCATACTTCACTGACCGTTAAAGGCTTTGTTGTATTTTTGACCCCCTGAACAACCATTTTTGTTCATAAAGTAATCTGATTTTATTTTTTTCCTTTAGATCTGTGCCAAATCAAGCTAGAGACTTGTAGATCAACATGCTAAAAGAGTAATGCCTCATCGGAGGTCATTCTGAATTAAGACTAACACTCACCACTTCCTTCCTTTTTGTGGGAAGAAGAAAAACAGAAATCATGGCAAGCAAACGGAAGTCTACCACACCTTGTATGATACCCCTCAAGGTTCTAGCCCTGGATGGTGGTACAGACATTGCAGAAGAAGAAGAAGAAGAAAAGGACCAAAGTTCTTCAGAGGAGCACCAAGACATACTACCAGCTGCAGATCTTATGGGTGATGGTCATGACCTGCTCTCTAATGGACATGAAAACGTAGACGGTCTGAGTTTTTTTTGTAAATATTGTAATTTTGGTTCTCAGGAAACGAGCCCTTTTGTGGAACACATGAATACGAAACACCTTGACTTTAGAGACGATCCCTCCTATGTTTGCATTGCATGTAGCTTCTTAGTGAAAGATCCTAAGGAACTAGAAGCTCACAATACAGATTCTCATTCTGGAGATCAGGATCTCTCCTGGGCTGTGGCCAAGCACGAGAGCTATACTGTTGTGGAGCAGAGTGGTGGTGGCCATGGCATTGACCATGATGAACCTGTACGCCATGGTGACGAACTTGATGACTACTCGGAAGTAGCTATTACTAAAACCCCTATAATGAAGAATTTGAAAAATAAGCTGGAGACAAAGAAAATTATCACCATAAAGGATAATGGCATAGGTGAGGAGCCTGAGAGAAGAGGTCGCCCAGTCACGAGGAGTGGAACAGCATTGATAAGCAAAGTAGCCAACAACATTGTAAATTCTTCAATCGTAAATGGCCCTATAATAGGAACAGTACCTGTCCTACAAACTGGGGTCACCCAGTTGGTATCTATAAACGCTCCTCATTCTGTAATACAGCCAAAGATTCCTGCAACTATTCTAACGCCAGTGCTGCCCAAGCAGTCTGCACAAAAGTCCCAAGGTCACCAGCTTCCCAATGAAAAGTCTCTCCCAAAAGTAATGATTCCGTTAAGTAGCATTCCAACATATAATTCGTCCATGGATTCCAATTGTTTTTTGAAAAATTCTTTCAATAAATTCCCCTACCCCACAAAGGCTGAACTTTGCTATCTGACAGTTGTGACAAAATACCCTGAAGAGCAAATTAAAATATGGTTTACTGCACAAAGACTTAAACAGGGAATCAGCTGGTCACCAGAGGAGATCGAGGACTCTAGAAAGAAGATGTTTAATACTATAATTCAGTCCATACCCCAACCCATGCCACAGCCTACTATAACTGTTTTGAATGCCCCTCTCGTTACAAATGCAAATAACGTTCAGCATCTTATCCAAGCAACCCTTCCTAGTCAGATTGTCAGTCAACCTCAAGGGACTGGTGGCGTCATAGTGACTCAGCCTATTATTACCAATGGAATTCAAGGAGCTGTTTCTTCTTTGTCTTTAGGAGTAGCACCACTTTCAACGAGTCATTCAAATGAATTTGGTAGAGAGTCTTTTACAACAGCTGGCAATTCCCCTCCATCAAATTATGAGAGCATTCGAATGAAAAAGTCAAGACAGCAGCTGAGCGCCCTTAAAACCAGCTTTTGCAAAAGTCAGTTTCCTTCCCATGGAGAAGTTGCAAGGCTGACCAGAATTACTGGCCTTGCAACAAGGGAGGTTAGGAAATGGTTTAGTGATAAACGGTATCACTACCGCAACAAACCAACAACCCTCTTCTCAGACCCCAACGAGCAACTAACTGATCTCCAGTCAGATTTGGTGTTTTCTGTGGGAAAAGAGCATGATACTGATTTTGCACTTCCAGCAAGCAGCCATACATCCTCACATACGCCATTGCACACACCTTCACATACACCATCACATACACCATCGCATACACCATCACATACGCCTAGGAGGCAGTCATGGCATCAAGCTCCAGACTTCACGACCACAAGATACAAGGAAAGGGCTCCACAGCAGCTGAGGGCTCTGGAAAGTAGCTTTGCAAAAAATAACATCCCTTCAGATGATGAAGTGACCAGGTTGCGAAGTGAGACCAAAATGACAAGGCGTGAAATTGACAGTTGGTTCTCAGAGAAACGCAAAAGGGTCGCTGAAGAACTCAAGCGAGAAAAGGCTTGGCATGAAAAGCACGAAGTTTTTCCAGGGGAGAACTCAGAGGTCAAAATTGCTGAAGTGAAGGCTCCTAGATCTCCAGTCTTGGAGCGAAAAGTAAATCCAATAAAGATTAATTTAAAGGCTCTTCGGGTGACAGATACCGGTAACAACACAGACTGCTTTAGGGATGATAACAGTAATCACAGCGATGGCAGTAGTAGGCCCTGTACACCTCAGAAATCTAGATCTGTTAAAAAGACTGCCCAGCAACGAGATCATTTAAGACAGTTGTTTGTGAAGACGCAGTGGCCATCCCAAGAACAGTATGATTACCTGGTAGAGCAGACAGGACTGCCACGGCCAGAAATTGTGCGTTGGTTTGGGGATGCCAGGTACTCTTTTAAAATTGGTAATTTAAGATGGTATGAGGGCTACAAAAAAACCTATTCAGAAACTAAGCCAGTGTCTCTGCAGCCTCTCTTGGACTATTATGGTGAACATCAAACACTTTGTGAAAGTGACATTAATGGTCTGTGTGGTCAGACTAGCATGTCCCCAGATGAAATCCGGGGCTGGTTTTCAGATCGGCTAGAGGAAACCAAACAGAGCGCAGTTGAAGAGGGCAGCGATGACACGCATTGCAACTATGGTGACACAGTTGAAAACCAGAATACAGTACAGGATTCATTATCTAAGGTATCTGAAAATGGGGAATCCTGGGAACAGAGGTCGCATGAATGCAGCACTGGTTCCGCGCCAGAACTTCCATCAGTTATACCGCTTGGTAAGAAATGTTATTACTCTAAAATTATCTTTACTAATTGTACTATACTGTAGACTTGTCTGAACTAGATTTTGCTGATTTGCACATTCTTGCTCTTTCTAGCTCATATTATACTACATGGGCTTCAGTGGTAAACTTAATTTGTATGTTTAGGCAATTGTAGAGAGATTTTCATTTGTGTTAGTCCCCAGTTACTTCGTAAATAGGGGGAAGTTGTATTCACGCCAGTAATCCAGTCATGTGCAAGACTTTCTTTTTTTCTTCTAATAAAAATTCCCTTGCACTTTATTGGATATTCAAAATACACTTTCACCTTTATCAACAATTATCATTGAACAGTCTCTATTTCATTAGTACCATATTTTTCGCTCCATAAGACGCACCTGACCATAGAACGCACCTAGGTTTTAGAGGAGAAAAACAAGAAGAAAAATATTCTGAACCAATGGACTGCAGACACAGTACAGGAGATGACCCGAGACTACGGACACAATACAGGAGATGACCTGAGATTGCGGACACAGTACAGGGGATGACCAGAGACTGCGGACACAGTACAGGAGATGACCAGAGACTGCGGACACAGTACAGGGGATGACCAGAGACTGCGGACACAGTACAGGGGATGACCAGAGACTGCGGACACAGTACAGGGGATGACCAGAGACTGCGGACACAGTACAGGGGATGACCAGAGACTGCGGACACAGTACAGGGGATGAACAGAGACTGCGGACACAGTACAGGGGATGACCAGAGACTGCGGACATAGTACAGGAGATGACCAGAGACTGCGGACACAGTACAGGGGATGAACAGAGACTGCGGACACAGTACAGGAGGTGACCAGAGACTGCGGACATAGTACAGGGGATGACCAGAGACTGCAGACATAGCACAGGAGATGACCAGAGACTAAGGACACAGTACAGGAGATGACCAGAGACTGCGGACACAGTACAGGAGATGACCAGAGACTGCGGACACAGTACAGGGGATGACCAGAGACTGCGGACACAGTACAGGGGATGACCAGAGACTGCGGACACAGTACAGGGGATGACCAGAGACTGCGGACACAGTACAGGGGATGACCAGAGACTGCGGACATAGTACAGGGGATGACCAGAGACTGCGGACAGTACAGGAGATGACCAGAGACTGCGGACATAGTACAGGGGATGACCAGAGACTGCGGACATAGTACAGGAGATGACCAGAGACTGCGGACACAGTACAGGGGATGACCAGAGACTGCGGGACACAGTACAGGGGATGACCAGAGACTGCGGACACAGTACAGGAGATGACCAGAGACTGCGGACAGTACAGGAGATGACCAGAGACTGCGGACACAGTACAGGGGATGACCAGAGACTGCGGACATAGTACAGGAGATGACCAGAGACTGCGGACACAGTACAGGGGATGACCAGAGACTGCGGACACAGTACAGGAGATGACCAGAGACTGCGGACACAGTACAGGGGATGACCAGAGACTGCGGACACAGTACAGGGGATGACCAGAGACTGCGGACACAGTACAGGGGATGACCAGAGACTGCGGACACAGTACAGGGGATGACCAGAGACTGCGGACACAGTACAGGGGATGACCAGAGACTGCGGACACAGTACAGGGGATGACCAGAGACTGCGGACACAGTACAGGGGATGACCAGAGACTGCGGACACAGTACAGGGGATGACCAGAGACTGCGACTACAGCGGACACAGTACAGGGGATGACCAGAGACTGCGGACACAGTACAGGGGATGACCAGAGACTGCGGACACAGTACAGGGGATGACCAGAGACTGCGGACAGCACAGGGGATGACCAGAGACTGCGGACACAGCACAGGGGATGACCAGAGACTGCGGACACAGCACAGGGGATGACCAGAGACTGCGGACACAGCACAGGGGATGACCAGAGACTGCGGACACAGCACAGGGGATGACCAGAGACTGCGGACACAGCACAGGGATGACAGAGACTGACAGAGACTGCGGACCAGACAGGACACAGCACAGGAGGTGACCAGAGACTGCGGACACAGCACAGGAGGTGACCAGAGACTGCGGACACAGCACAGGGGGTGACCAGAGACTGCGGACACCAGCACAGGGGGTGACCAGAGACTGCGGACACAGCACAGGGGGTGACCAGAGACTGCGGACACAGCACAGGGGGTGACCAGAGACTGCGGACACAGCACAGGGGGTGACCAGAGACTGCGGACACAGCACAGGGGGTGACCAGAGACTGCGGACACAGTACAGGGGGTACACAGTACAGGGGATGACCAGAGACTGCGGACACAGTACAGGAGGTGACCAGAGACTGCGGACACAGTACAGGGGGTGACCAGAGACTGCGGACACAGTACAGGGGGTGACCAGAGACTAAGGACACAGTACAGGGGGTGACCAGAGACTGCGGACACAGTACAGGAGATGACCAGAGACTGCGGACACAGCACAGGGGGTGACCAGAGACTGTGGACCTTTGGGAGGGAGGGGGAGCGGGTACATGAATTTGACACGTACCCGATCCCATTTCTGCGGAGGTGTCTTCCCTTTAGTGCGGGAACCCCGCTGTGACAGTCAGGTGCTCATTGTGCATGCACGAGAATCGCTGCGCTTTGTGAATGGCCCAGCGTCTTCTGGGACACATGACAGGTCCCAGAAGACGCTGGGCCATTCACAAAGTGCAGCGCTTCTCTCGCATGCTCAGTGAGCATCCGGCTGTCACAGCGGGGTTCCCACACTAAAGATTCCGGCGCGGGAAGAATAAGGTAAGGTCCTGCTTCAGGGAAGAGCTGAGCGGCCGGCCCGGTATTCTGACACGGTGTCTGCGGCGGAAATACCGGACCGGCCGCTCTATATTTGCTCCATAAGTCGCACTGACATTTTTTTTTGGGGGGGAGTGCATCTTGTGGAGCGAAAAATACGGTAAATAAACTCCTGGCATTTTTTTTGAATAGAGGAGGAGATGAATGAGTCACTTGTATCTGTGTAATTATATGATTGAACTCTGTAATTTTTTTTTCTCTATTTTCCCAACAAAAGCAATGTGAAAAAATCCATCAGCATTTCATTTAGGCACTGTTCACACATGCTGTGACCTGTGTTTCACCACATAGGAAGAATACAGATCACTGCTAGGACACACAGAAAACGGTTGTTGCTATGTGCCTCATTCACACAGCAGCACACCCCGGAGGTGCAGTGTAGTGAGCTGTGATTAAGATGCAGACATGGTGCGTTTTATCACAGTGCGCTGGATAGGATCAAACGTAACTACAACAGTGCATGTACAGTGACACGAATGAAGTGTCAATTTTGTGAACTTCAAATAAAGTTTAAAAAAAGAAAAGGAGCTGTGTGATGCTCTTAAATGTATAACACACTGCCCCCTACTGCCATCTCACTGAAGCCAGAACAGACAGCTACCTGACACCAAACCACTGTGCTGTGTGAACTGGCCCTTATCTGACTAAAGAAAAGAATGTTTGTTTAACTTTGAGCCCTGGTTCACACTGATTTGGTGCGGAATTTGCGGCGTTTTCTGTGCAATTTCCGCACCGCATCAGAATCGTACCCCGTTCATGCGAACTGCTGTGCATTTGTATGTTAAGTTAACAAAGCCTCAAAAGCGGTCCACAAAACACGATGTGATGTGCAGAATCGGATTACATAGGTGTGATACCCATGCAATCTGATTCCAGTGCGGGTCCTGCACCTTTTTGGTGCAGTTGCGGTGCGATTCGAGCCATACAAAATGCATGTGATCTGTACAGGAATGTGGCGCGGTTCCTGTGCAAATCACATGCGATATACCGCACATATGTGAACCTGGGCTAATGTAGCAAATAAGTAGTTCACATTTACATACACATTTTGGTTCATTACATAGAACAATTAAATTGTTTTTTGTTTCTATTCAAGTGCAAAATGATACCTGTTGATCATGTCACAAATTCAGAGCTGTCCTGTCCACTCTGCCCATGTTTTATGTAGGAGTCCTATTCCCCCACCCTAGTTTTTGGGACTACAGAATGATTAGTATCTATTGTGGAGATGGGAGAGTGGATGGGTATGTGTAGTTTAGCAATAGATAACTGGGCAGGGTTGTCAATGATCACTTGGCTTGTAAGCCCTGTTATGGGCTGACAACACACAGTATTTTTGTGAATGGACAGCATTTCTGGCACATTAACACAGGGTGGATTTGATTTAAATCACGATTTAAATCACTAGTCAGTAAGGCTTGATTTAAATCCTAGTTTTCTACATAAAGACTAATTCTTGCTGGTATAACTTTAATATGCAAGTAGATGAAGATTTTTAGAATAACAACTTTTCATATTAGTTTTTTTATCCCCAGTTTAATAGGTTAATCATTCATATTTGGACAACTTTTCTGTTGTACTTAGGAAGGAGAAAAATAATCATTACCTTAATAATAACAATTTAAATAGATTTATTCATCTGAAACAATAACATTCCAGCATATGTGATTTGCTTAAACATCCATGTTTGTTAACTAATTTGGCTAAACAAAATATATATATTTTCAGAAACTTAGACTGTCAGCCCCTTCCTCCTCACACTTAGTTTCACTTTCTTCTTGTGCAGATCTATTCCACTCCAAACAATCAGAAAAATATTGTTTCTATTCTATTCACTGAACTTCTTGAAACTTAGCAGTGAAGGGGTTGATTCTGTATTCATAGGTTTGTAGAAGTTAGGATGAAGGTCTTTTTCTTAACTCTGTTCATGTTATAACATTTTTGCTGTGAAGAGGCATGTGATCTCCGCTGAGTCAAATTCAGTTTTGAGAACTGCAAAAGTAACCAAGCATCTGTGATAATATCTTGTAGGCAGAGAAACTGCCCAATAATCTTACAAAAACCTCTGGAAGAGCATGACATTGTGAATGGATTCATGGACTTTATTTACCAAAAAAATTAAACCTATACAGCCTTATTCTACATAATTAAAAAACTAATCTTTATTTCATGATGGAATAACCTTTGGATGGTAATATATTTTCCTCAAAAAGCATTTTATTTAAAAAAAATCTGATTTAAATAAAAATAATCCTTTTTTTTTTTTTTTTTTTTTTTTTTTTTAAAAATCATTGATTTTTATCCACCCTGCATTAACAGTTATTTTTTTCTGTGCTAGCAGGGTCTTTTAAAGGGATCAAACATGGGGAAGTGTGCATATATATTTCAGATGTACAGTACTGTATTTATTTTGCCCTGTACACTTAAGATGTGTATATTTATTTATTTTTATTTATTTTTTTTAGAAACGAATTGAACACCTGCAAAATACAAGATGCTGGTAATCCAGAGGACTAAAGTATCTCCAGCCTCCTTTTAAAGGGGTTCAAATGGCACTGAAGTGTCTTGTGTTTATCCCTGCTGGGAGGCAGGAAGACATAATGGCCGTCTTGGCACTACATAGAAAATAAAGGGACCTTATTGCCTTGATGCAGATTCTGGCCAATAGAAGTCACCTTTCCCTCATTGTATATATCATAATTCAGGTTTTCAAGTTTTCCCCCTCCTCCCAGTGACACTTACCCCCCCCTTAGCGCTTTCCCACCCCCTCCCGTCCTGTTCACTGTATGTTTATTGGTACAGACACTTATTTATATAATGTCAGAATAATATAACCGTTTAGTATTCACAGACTGATTTAATACAAAACTTTCTAGTTGGAAACCTGCTTGGACTAACGCTTTGTAAATAAAGATTTGGTTTTCCTTCCCTTGCTCTTCGATACAGAGATGTGATGGTGTGCTATGCATATTTTATATTTGGTTAGGGTATGTACACGGGCTTTGTACGTGAGCCTAAGAAGCTTTGTGTGCCATACTTGGCAATCTCAGCCGTCAGAGCTTTCGGTTTTTCCATCTTGCACCGAGTTTGCCGAGTAAAGCACATAGCAAAGCTTCTCAGGTAAGTATAAAATACCTGCAAGTACTAATATGTCATATGAAGGCAGAACTTTTTTTTTTCTTTGTTTTTTCCTCTGTCAGGTTCTGTGTTTTGTTGCAGGAATTGTAAAGCCAATGGTGTTGGACAAGCTGAACACCATGGAATTACATGTTTATAATATTCTGGTACTGTGAATCGATCTATTTCAATAGATTGATCAAAGGACTAATATTACATATGAATGAGGATGCTGTAGTACCACTTTGCTACCAGGGGAATGGCACTGTGATTGATGGTATTGGAGATTTAGTTTTTTTTTTTTTTTTTTTTTAGGTTTTTTTTTTTTTTGGGCTTTTTTTTTTTTTTAAGATATATTAGTGGTATCTTATATGATTGTGATAATCACTGAAGAGAAAAGGAGAAAAAGACAGAATATTAGTACTTAATAATGCAACCATTCTATGTTCTCTGCATCCATTTAGAAGTATCATGACTTCTTTAGGATTTTCTGCTTCACGTCTCCTTTGCAAGTTTAGGCATTGAGCTCCCCACTTCTTGTTAATGCATGCATACGATTACAGCTGCCTTGCCTGTGTGTATGTGATGTATGTCGACCTCATCCAGCGCTCTTGAATCATTTTGTAAAGGAAGGCAGTTCCCTTCTCTGGAAGGTGGTGATTGGATGGATCGCGCTGACTAATGATCAGTCCTATACAGACTCCTC